TACTAAATATACATTTGTTGCTCAATAAATCAAAAATTCATTTCCAAATGCCTTATAAGGTTTTCCTTAATGGTCACGGAAATATTTCATGAAAATAAAAATCTGCATATTTGACAAAAAACGTGGGTTAATCTCACGGTTTTTAGTCAGATTTGCAAATTCGTACATAAATCACCGTTCAATCTATTTATTTTCACAATCGCTGCACTGTGAAGTTTTGAAAATTAAGGTAAGACTTTCTATTGATATTCTTGAGGGTGGAACTGCATTTGACAATGTTTTCGGCCATACTGGTATATTTTTCACTTATTTTTTTAGTTTTCGACTTAAATATTCTACTAAAAAAATATTTGTTGCTCATTAGATTGTAATCCGCTTCCAAATACCTTATAAAGTTTTTCTTAATTCTCACGGAAAATATTTCGCGAAAATAAAAAATCTGCATTTCTAACAAAAAAACATAGGTTTACACTAATGGTTTTTAGTTTGTTTTGCAAATTCATACATAAATCATCGTTCAATCTATTTATTTTCACCTTCACCTCACCATGACATTTTGAAAATTAAGGTAGAAACTTTCTAGTTATATTCTTGAGGGTGGAACCCCATTTGACAATGTTTTGGGCCTCACTGGTATATTTTTCACTTATTTTTTTAGTTTTTAGCTTAAATATTTTACTAAATATACATTTGTTGTTCAATAAATCATAAATCCACTTCCTTATAATGTTTTCCTTAATGCTCACGGGTTTACGAATAAAAAATTTGCATTTTTTGACAAAACAACGTATACCTACTGCGTTTAGGCAGTTTTGCAAAATGGTACAAAAATCGTCTAGTCTATATGTTTTCACCTCCAACATGCCGTGACAATTTGAGAGTTAATGTTGGACATTTTGTTTATATTCTTGTGGATGGAGTTCTTTTTCTGTAATGTTTTGGTGCCAACAAACTATTTCTTTTACATTTATTTTTCAACTTTTGGCTTAAATATTATATTAAATTTTATTTGTGGCTCAATAAATGGTAACACCCTTCCAAATGCCTTAGAAAGATTTTTTAAATTATGAGGGAAAATATATGGCAAAAATTAAAAAAATTTGAATTTTTCTCAAAAAATGTGGACGTTATCACAATTTTTGGGCGGTTTTGCAAAATAGTATAAAAATAATCGGCATGGAGTCTATATGCGTTCACCTTCAATGCATTGTGACGATTTGAGAATCAATGTTAGACTTTTTGTTTCTTGTGGATGGAGTTCTTTTTTGGCAATGTTTTAGGTAGACCGGCAGTTTTGACACGACACGAAAATAACAGGTTTCGGGTCAACACGATAACTTATTGGATCATTATCAGGTGACCTGTTAAGAACCCGTTAATAACGGGTATACACGCGGGTAACATGAGGATAACCCGTTTCGACCCGTTAAGAAAAAAAAATATTTTGATAATTTTAAAGTTTAATTACTAAAAGATTTATTATAAAATACAATAGCCATATTAATATATACAATATATTCTATATTAAATATATTTTTTTCTATTATTATTCTATATAAGTTAAAAAAAAAAGTTTTAGTCATTATTTATTTTTATTATGAGAGTTCCTTATTATCATTACTAGGATAAATTTTCCTTAACATGTTGTCCAAAATTAAAATAAACTAATATAGTATTTGTATAGGCAAGAACTAAGAAGACTTCCCTCCCAGTCAGTTTGTACATCAAGGGAGGCTGCAAGGTTGTAAGCAGTTTTAACAGAGAAGGTTCCATTAGTCGAACCCTGCCAGATGTATCTATCATCATCAGAATCAATAAGTCCAGCAGGGATCCCAATAATCTCTTCCACAATATCATTAGGTAGCACCTCTCTCAGCTTGTTACATACAAGTATGAAAAATGTGAAAGAATATATAAACACTCATGATTCATCATTATTCCTCCATGAGTAGATAATGGTTACACTTACATTATCGTTTAGATTTTTAAAATCCTCCAAACCTTCATGAATAATTTTTTTTATTTGAGGGCAAAATAAATAAAATTAATAATAATTATTGTAGAAGTGTAAAAAATGTAAAAAAATATACAATCACTCATAGTGACAAACTTTACAACTTTCATGAAGGGGTCAGCTTCGAAATCCAACACTATAATTCATAAACCTTAAATTTATATTTAACCGTCGATTGTTATTTACGCTTTATTCTTCTTATTGAATTTCATTTTTAAAATTTTCTTTTTTGAAAACATGATCATCTGGCGGATGTAAGAAGATGAACTGTTCAGATCTTTGATATCACATTTCGATATTTACGGTTAACTGAAATATGAGTCGATGTCATATAGTTTGTAGAAACTTTATAAACATCAAGCAATATTTTCACTAACCGTAAAACTCTGAATATAATATAAATGATCCAAACCATTCATCTTCATGCATCCTCTAATAGATCAAGTTTTCAAAAAGGAAAATCTAAAAAAACAAAATTTGATGAGAATAATGAAGCATAAATGTAAACAACAATCAACGGTTAACTTTTGATGTATGATTTATATGATTATAGTGGCGAATTTCGAAGTTAAGCTCTTCATGAAAGTTGTAAAGATTGTCATTACGAGCGTTTATATATATTTTTCTATATTTTTTTACACTTCTTCTACATTAATTAAAAAACTATTAAAGACTTTAGGTAAGTGAAAATATATTTAAAAGAAAAATGCGTTTTATGTTTTGGATGTGACAATATGGTATGTATATACTTATTTAGTATTATGTTTTTCATTTGATTATTTATTAGTTTAAAATATATTTTCCTTAACGGGTAACGGGTCGGGTCATATTACCTGTTAATATTATCAGGTCGATTTCGGGTCGGGTCATTTTACCCATTTATTTTAACAGGTGTTACACGACACGACCCGTTAAGATATTGGGTATGACACGAATACGGAAAACACGACACGAATGCCATTTCTAGTTTTAGGGCCAATAACTATTTTTTGCATTTATTTTTCAACTTTTGGCATAAATATTTTATTAAAAATTCATCTATGGCCCATAAATGGTAACACGCTTCCAAATATCTTATAAAGATTTTGTTAATTATGAGGGACAATATTTGGCAAAAAAACAAAGAAAAAAATTTTTACTCAAAAAACATGCACTAACCATAACGGTGTTTAGGTGGTTTTTCGAAATAGTACAAAAAAAAGTCATATCTATATGCTTTCACCTTCAACGCACCGTGACGATTTGAGAATTAATGTTAGACTATTTGTTTATATTCTTGTGGATGGTTGTGGATGGAGTTCCATTTCGACAATGTTTCAGGGCCATCAACTATTTTTTTACATTTATTTCTAAACTTTCAGCTTAAATATTATATTAAAAATTCATTTGTGGCTCGATAAATGGTAACACCATTTTCAAATGCCTTATAAAGAATTTTTTAATTATGAGGGATCGGCAAAAACAAAACAAAAAAATTTAATTTTCTCAAAAAACGTGAACTAACCAACATGATTTTTAGGCGGTTTTGCAAAATAGAACCAAAAGTGTTGTAAAGTCTGTATGCTTTCATCTTCAACACACTGTGATGTCTTTAAAAGTCATCTAAGACTTTTCGTTAATAATCTTGAGGGTGAAGTCCCATTTCGGAAATTTTTTGGGCCCTTATTATTATTTTTATTTATATTTTCAGTTTTCGGCTCAAATATTGTATTAAAAATATATTTTTGGCTTAATATATGGTAAAACTTCTTTCAACTGCCTTATAAAGTTTTTCTTAATCATGACAAAAAATCACAGAAAAATAAAAAAATTTGCATTTTTCTATAAGACGTGGGCTAACCATCACTGTTTTTAGGCGGTTTTGTAAATTTGTACAAAAGTTGTTATAAAAAATCTGCTTTCATCTTCACTGCACAATGAGTTCTTGAAAATTCATCTAAGACTTTTCATTAATACCCATTTCAGCAATGTTTTGAGCACTACTATTTTTTTCAATTATCGGCTTAAATGTTCTATTCAAAAATATATTTGTGCTCAATATACAGGAAAACCACTTTCAAGTGCCTTATAAAATTTTTCTTAATCATGAGGAAAAAAATTTCGCAAAAATAAAAAAATTTCATTTTTTTTTTAAAATATGGGCTAACCATCACGGTTTTTAGATGGTTTTGCAAATTTGTACAAAAGTTGTCATAAAGTTTATTTTATTTCATGTTTGTTGCACCGTAAGGTTTAGAAAATTCATGTAAGACCTTCCGTTGATATTCTTGAGTTTGGAACTCTATTTCGGCAATATTTTCGCCCCCACTATTTTCTTTTTCCTAATTTTCTGCTTAAATATTCTATAAGAAATTCATTTGTGGTTCAATAAATGATAAACTACTTCCCTATTCCTTATAAAGTTTTTCATGATCATGATGAAAAATATTTCGCCAAAAAAAAAATTGCATTTTTCTCAACAAAAAAAAGGGGACAATTGACAATTTTTAGTCTGTTTTGCAAATTTGGACAAAAGTTGTCATAAAATCGACTTACTTTCACCTTCATAGCAGCGTGAGGTTTTGAGAATTCATGTAATACTATTCGTTGATATTCTTGAGGGTGAAATAATGTTTTGGCAATGTTATTTCTTTGTTTATTTTTCAGTTTTCAGCTTAAATATATTATAAAAATACATTTATGACTCAATAAATGCCTTATAAAAAAAAATTCTTAATCATTACAAAAAATATTTGGCAAAAATAAAGTATCAGTTTTGGTCCCATGCGGAGAAAAATAGAGTAATCGAAGGGGATGGTATGGATAAAGGACAGCTAAACCGAAAATGGAGAGTATCATGTTGCAGTTGCAGTGCCCTTTTCCTATGCTGCCGGCCTATCCGAGTCTTATGAACCAACGACAAGGCATATTTGACATACATGTGACATAATCATTGTGCAATAAACTGCCGTGGTTTGTGTTGGGGTCGTAGGTTCAAAATCTCATGTTCCAAAGTTTGCTGTGTTGTGGAATAAAAATAAACAAATTGAAACTGTAATCACGCCTTGATTCATTTATTACAAACTATTCATGCAGAACAAGAGGAACACATTGATAATCTCCTTCCAACCACCTTAATCTTCATATTAATCTATCCTTCCAACTGTTGATATACATCATGATAATCTACACCTATCAGATCTAACTATTTCTTCCCAAACCGCCTATTTTCGTTTACATCCATCTGGAAAAAGATGGCTATGAATTAGCAGGCTAAAATTACATCTAGGATTCCCCATCTTACAAAAATCGTACTAAACTGTGCCACGGCCTTCGACAGTTCACTTGGGGATTTCATACCTAAACATACATATATATTTACCAATACATGGCCAAGTGATCACTTGATTTTACCTTCTCTAAGCCTTCTCTTGATGCCTGGAGAGCTCCTTGTCAGCAAAATGCAAAAGCCTCCTCAATCTCAAAACCATATCGCAATGAAACGGCAGTGCACTTCGCCTCTCCAGGTACGCTGGACTCGCAGTCATCCATGAGAGCGCATGAAGCTCGGTTGCCAGGGATTCCAGAATGACATGAGTCTCAAACTCCAATTCTCTAGCTTCCAAGCTTGGACTCCTTCCAGCTTGTTTGGTATTACCCCTCATGAGTTTGTCTTGGCTAAAGCTATTACCTCCATAATGATCAATAAGACTGACCAAAAGAGATGAAGGCCATTCTTCTTTCAAGTTGCTCCTACGATCTCTCCTCACAGTAGGTACAGCTTTGGAAACCACAAAACAAGTAGAAAGGGGGATAGCAGAGCCTTTACTATGAAGGAGATGGGCTAGTGGAGGTGATTCGGCAGTGAGGCACGTGGGCAGCTGAAGAGGTGTTGGCGGGAGGAATCGCATGCTCGGTGATGGGATCAGAATGTGAGAAGCAGGTGTGGAACCAAGAGACTTCACAGGTGTGAAGCCTTCCAGATATGCTGACGAGCCCATACCGACAGCACCTTGAGCACCTGCTTAGAAATTGGAGTCAATATTATAATCAAATTTCACAATAACTTCTCTGATCCGCTTGGCATATTAATAAAAGAAAAAAGGTTTGAAGTGTCTCAGAAACAAACTCGCGTGATTTAGCTAACGGAACTATTTTCATAAGAAAATTTCTCTTGTTTGTGTGGATCTATAGAACCCTGGTTCATATCGCATAAAAAAAATGTCCCAATTAATGCTGTTAGCTTTTGTTCTCAATACTTCTTTTCCCCTCTTTTTTAAGACACGCAAAAGAAAGAAAACAAAAGAAGAAAGAGCACTTCGCTAAGCAAACGGAAAAGATGTGTACGGTGCTGTTCAGTTCAGTGTAAAACTATCATTCCAAAAATACCAAGTTCATGTATTGGCCCCCTTAAAGAACAAAGCACAACAGAGGTGCTGGGTATTAAATTTTCCTTATCAGTCAGATATAAATTAACAGAAAATACAAAGAGTGTAAAAAAATGTACAAATAAGGACTGGAAGATATAACTGACCCGGAGATTGTGTATCTGCTTGAAAAACAAGATGCAAAGAGTGATCAATTGCAATTGTAACAAAGCTGATACTTTGCACCCACTGAAGCAAACTCCTTGAGCTGTCCATTAACTGTGTGCCCATGAGCTGCTTTCTGACAGAAGGTTGTCCTAAGCCACCTTTCATATATCCAGACATTTTTGAGTGAGAGCTGCCATACAGAGGGCCAGGTGAAGAAGGTAGGGTTCTTTCTTGAATCATACTCATTTCCTGCTGTTGCATGGAAGGCCCATTACTACTAGCAGACATCCCATCAGACACAGATCGCCGCAGTTGCAAGTGCCATTTTTTCACTTCTGAACCCCCAACTGAATTAATTGCTTTCTGCCACTCTGTTCACAATTAGATGGGAAAATTTGAAAATTCAACACCGATGCCAATTTGAGAAAAGAGAATAAAAGCTGTGAATTAAAATTTACTGCATCAGTGAAAGTGATCTCAACATATAAGATGTACAAATAATAACCAAATTGATTGCAATTACCAACAGAAAAAGAGGTTAATAAGAATTCTAAATGCATGTGGATGTGGGCACTTTATCTCATAATTTATTTCTCACCCATTTGGGCACTGTATCTCATGATACAATTGTCACCCTAAAATCCCTAATGTAGATTTCATCTTCCATCACAGTTCATCTTCAAAATTATTAATCTACTCAATATGTTGCAGCTTTGTAACCGCACCAACACACAACGTCAACTTTAAACGGAGAAGATAAGAACTATGAAACATAAAATGATGGGAATGAAACTCAGTATACCTTGGTATTCAAGTTCATAGAAACTTCCAATGCGTGCAATCACAAAGTCCCTTGGCTTGGCAACACCAGTATCAGAAGAGCATGCCTGCAGTATCTGACAGCCTTGCTGCAGAACTTGCACAAAAAGGCATTCCAACCCCTTTGTGTCCTGTCTACTGCTGATTCCACCAAAAGGGAATATGTGGCTATCAAGTAATTCTCCCCTTGAATCTGTCCAGATACATATTAGCCAACGCCAGTCCTCTGTCCATCCGTAGCAACAATGCAGGCTTGGAGTCTTATCTAGCTCAGATCCATCTTGAGAGCCTGATCCAGAATCCGCACTTCCACCCAAACTTGCATTCTGCAGAAAGCCTCCACTACTGTCATCTGACAATGGCTTTGAAGATTCTAATGACAAATTACCAAAAGCTAAGGGTGACAATGCACGCTCTAGAGAACCAGGTTCCGCAAGGATAAAAAGTGGCTCAAACATGTAGCGAGTCTCATCTTGCGGAAAAAAATCTCCAATTCTGTTGGGATCACAGCTTACTGCTCCACTTCTTGTTGTTTGCCATGAACTATCCCAGCCACCAGTCCTCAAACTAGCATCAATTTCACCCTCTCTTGGAAGGGAATGCCCAGTAATTCGAGAGCCAACACAATCCTTCCACATCCCCGGAGTAGGAGACGACATTTGTGTGAGGACAGCATGTGGTCTATTAGACAGTGATGATGATTGCACTGCATCACTAGATGCTCCTCGTGATATTCGGCGAGCCTTGTTGTAAACAGTAAAAGCAGTCTCCTTGAGAATTACAAGCTCATTCAGTGATGGGCTTGTAACTTTAAAAATGGCATCCACTGTCACAATCTGCAGTACCAATTTAGGAATACTAAAACCAGAAAGTACTAAAATATTTGATATTGATGCCTCATCCACTGTTGCCGAATAGCTCAATGCCTTGGAAACCTGACTGTGCAATAGAGATCTCCTTTCTCTGTCTGATTGGAAAATGACCGATCCGATAGAAACAGAAGACTCAATGACAGTCTGTAAAACTGCAATAGGCTCAGGGAAGGGGCACACAACATAAATCACCTGGATACAAAGAACCAACATAATATAGGATGTCAATCACAAGCAGTTAAAATAGTTTCATAATTATCTTGAGCAATTAGCAGAAAATACATTTTTCAAGTAACTATCAAAATAAGGTTAAATTGGCTTTCCAGCGTACTCAACAGAGTCCCAAATGAATTAAGTTAAGAAAGCTTTGCAACTTAGGATAATAAAAAATTTATCCAGATATAGGAACACCACTAAATTTCCATAATCAGGAAAGAAAAAGGACAGGTCGAAATACAACAGTAATTGAAGGCCTACTTTACTCACCGTTGAAGGACCACTACTTCCTTCTTTTGCGTTTGTGGACAAGCAGTGACCAAGTTTCAAACCTCTGAGTGCCTTTGAGAGAGACTTAAGGTAGCTTGTCAGGTCCCATCCATTCGAAAGAGAGAGAAAATAATCACTTATTGAGCTCACAAAAGATGCATTCCTGCTTTCCATCTTCATTGCTTGAGGGCAATCAAGTAGGACAAACCCAGGAGATGGCCTTCTCCCAGAGTCCACCTCCATTTGGTTCCCAACAATCTGGGGTAAATGAGTTCCCAGTTTGCATGTTTCATAGACTGGAGAAAAGGAAGCAAAAGGTAGAATTAAAACACACAGAAAAAGGGGAGGGGTAAGAGATCAGGTGGAAGACAAATATTTCTCTTTCTAAACAGAGAACATCTGAAAGCATGCAGATTCACCAAAGATAACTGAATTATGCACAAACTTTTATTTTCCATTCAAGTAATAACTCCTAAATGTCTCTTTGAAATTTGAATTTACACATTTTCAGGGGTTGACTAGTCAATGTATGACTTCAACATAATTTATACTGTTTAAAAGCCTATGTGGCAGAATTATTTCGTAACATTAGGTATTCCCTTGTGTGATTGTGAGTTTGAGTTAAAATGTTAGAGCTTCTTCATCCTTATCTAATGATGGGATACTATCACTAAGATGATGATGCAGAACCAAGAGAAACTTAAAAGTAGGATCTACAATTCTACATTTTTGTATAGGCAGATTGTTAGTTTCTTTGCTATGATACTTCAGGCAATTGTGTAACAGACAACAATAACAATTCAAATCTTGTAAACCCAAAAAGCGGATGATAATAACCTCAATTGAAGCAAAATACCACTTACCAGTTCCTAGTTGTTGGAAAAAATCAGCAGCAGCAGATGCAAGGGGATCAATGTCTGGACATACAACAGAATAAGTAATCTGCAACAATAAATAAACAGAAAGTGACGAAATTATTGGCAATTACAAGCATCTTAAATATTCTTCCAACAATTGGTATACAGAGATAACAGCATGATCATTTCTATCTGGCATTTGTTGCAAATTCAGTTCGATGAACTTACAGGTTTTTGTAGAGCATATGGCTCAAGCGGAGCCTTTTCCCAATGTTTCAGAGAGCTTGCTGATGTCTTAAGCCAGTCATCCTGATACCTAATACACAAATGATCATTTGCACATTTCTCTGTATGTGACTCACGCAAAAAGAGGTAGAATAATTATTCCAAATATGGCAACAAATTCATATCCTCTAGAAAATCAGTACGAAGATGCCACAACCATTTCAACAAGCTATTTTTCTATCCTAACTATCCTTTTCTTTTGACCATCAATAAGTTTAATACAGAACTACTGACAGTTTCATGAATCCTGAGGTGGTTTCTCATGGGCATTCAATGTCTAATGACTTCATACAAGGCTAGAACCAAAATAATTGCACAAGGGGGACAATTGACATATTTCCTAGGCTGAACACTTTTCAAAAGGTCTGGTATATTGAAACTACGCATATACATATTACTGGTCAATGAGGGCTTTACCACCCACCACGAAGCAAAGCCTAAGCCTTTTGGATAGAAGTGCACACCTCACCAAATCCTTTGAAAACACCAGTAAATCATATAACAAGAACCTTTTGAGATGTATGGTTACATTACCAAAATGCAAGATCTTTTTTTTATCTGAGGTCCACCTAGATGAAAGGAGATTGCATTGGTCGCATTTGCACTTGATAGAAATAGCACTCATGAGGGATTTACTCTCGTGTATTTATATAATTTTGTCTGGTTGCAGGGAGCTATGAGTTGATTAAAAAAAAGGCAGCTAAATGATAATTATCTTTGGGGTTAGTATGATGTTACTCGGCTATTTCAACTCTCAACCTTCTCTATCCAGGAGGTCATAGAATCCTCCATACTATGTTGAATATGCCTCCTTATTTATGAATCCTTGCTCTTAAACAAGTCAAAATCAATGCCTAATCTCACTTCCAGATGTTGTAAAAAAAATTGTGGACACACATACCCAACAAGTATAGCAGGCAACGGATTAACAAAAAGTGTAGGTCTTAGCCGGGAGCATGTCTGCAGGTCAGACTCAGAAGTGCAGTTGTCTTGGTTTGATCTTCTTTGGGATGTCTCTTCCGCTTTTACTCCATCCATTGCACTGGAAACTGTTGAACTTCAAACTGTTAAATATATTAAAATCAACCACCTCATCAAGGTACATACAAGCAAACAATACCTTTAATGTAAGTTGATCCAGCAGAACTAGATGGAGACGGGCTCAATGGTTCTCCAATAGAAGGTGCAACATCTCTACATTCACTTATAGCGGACTCAGCAGAATATCCATCAAGCGTGCTTTCACCTGATTGGTTGCGACCTCTACACCAATCAGTGACTGACATTGGCCCATCCAGAATACCAAATGCAGACTTTAGTGCCGTCTTTATGTCAGACTGCAGCAAACTAATCACAGATGAAGCATGAACCTGAAATGGAGTGAACAAGAGTCATGCTCTAATATCTGTTTCATCAATATATTAAACATAACCCGAAAGTAGGTCACAAAAAGAATCTACAAGGTAAAAGAGTAACATACAGAATACAATAATTGGCAAACCTAATAGACTGTCATATAATATCATTGTCTCAGAAGGTACTTAAAACCCAACCACGAGGTTGCTTTTCTACAAAACAAGTAAGAACTGGAACTGGCATAACATGGTTTCTTTGAAAATAACATTAATATTGACTTGGAGGAGGACATCTTTAAGAAAAGGACTTGCAAGATTAAAGGGAACCATTTAACACTGCTACTAAAAGCATGACAGTAAGTAACTCAACTTAAATCCTAGTATAGATGCCAAAGCACTGCATGTCCATTGATTCAATCAGTCTGTTAGGAATCTAGCTCCATTATCCAAGAAAGTTCTGACATATCTAGTTAGACTTTAATAAATCTTCACCTCCATAGCAGTCTGTACCCGTAATTTGTAAGGCATAAGTAAATTTAATTTAGTGCAGTTCCTATAATAACTATTACCTAATAATAATATACTAATCCAAGGTTCATATATAATCAATCTCAAAGTCTCTATACTAAAGATCAGCATGAGCATGCTACTGGAACAAGAACATCAATTTTCGGCGTAGAAGAACACCATATATAAGTTTATAACAAAAGCTTACATCTGCAGAGAGTGGATCAACTAACTCCACACCAGCAATGTCCAGGGAGTGACAAGAAGCCAGTGTGCCCCCACAACCTGCATGGACCATAGAAGGCCCACAAGAAAATCCCTTCCTCCATTGCTCTTGTAATGCCAGCCAACCATAAGGACCATCACCACAATCTGAGTCTAGGGCCAAATCAACAAAGGATGTAGCTTGCTGTACGAGTAATGTAAATCCATCCAGAAGTTCCTGAAGTGGTTGTCTTTGCCCATAGGATAGTAAACTTTCTTCATTGAAGGAAGAATGAGGCAAAGACGGGCTAATTTCTTTACTAGATGAACTTGTGGGTTTAGGGGCTCTAGGAGCTCCTACAGTGCGCCAGACACCCACAGGTGCATTAGGATGCCCATCTGTCATTCCTCTATCAATATCACCAGCAATTCTAACGGGTATCGATTCTTTCCTCTTAGCCTCATACTTTCCAGACATGTTTTCTGGCATGACACTTTGGTCACCTGGCAGACTACTGAAACCAGTAGATGAGAGACTGCTTGAAGACAATAGGGTGTGCCGTATTCTACACATTGAAGTTTGAAATAGAATGCACTCAACTTCAGTCGCAAGAATGGTCCTCATAGACAGAAAGGGATTTTCTGACTCAAATCTGCCTTCAGTGATTTTCCTCTGGGCCACTTTAACAGCATTTGTAGAATTGAGAATTGGGAAAGGAGATGATGCTGCACCATCATGGGCGAGCACAATTCCATTACTACCTGTAAGCAATCTTCCATCTTGTTGATCTTTTCCACTCTCCACATGAGTGTAATAATTCTTCGACCGGATAATATCGCTTGCATCCTTCTTTCCAGGACATGATTTTGAATTTATTGGCATGCCAGTCTTCTCATCAGATCCATCAAAGCAAGAAGAAGGTGGTGTTGGACCATATGTGTAAATGCTTGAGTTTGAATTTGAACTCTCCGCTTTTCGAGATTTTGGCAAGTATGGGCTTCTAAAAACGGACGATGAAACTTCACTTGTAGGTGTTTCAACAGCTCCATATTCAGGAGCAAATGTCATCAGTGCCTCAGCTTTTATTATATGATCAAATTCACTTATATTAGATGCTGAAGAGCAGTTGACTGGAGCTGAGGACATCACACTATTGATGACTTCTTGATTTTTAATGAGCGGCTCTTCCATGGCTGCTGGAGGGGGTGGAATAAAGCTTTCAAAGGATGCAAAGCCGTCAGACAAAAGCAACTGATCAGAAACATCCATCATCCCAACTGGATTGTCAACTACATCGCCAGGGTCTGGTGCAGAAAACATGAGAGACTGAGATTCGGCAGTTCCTGGGGGCTTCACAAAACAAAGAAACGGGATCAGATCAAAAGAACCACAATCATGTCAATACAAGGAAAGGCAGGGACAACACAATGCAGGTCTAAGAACACCTCCCCCACACCCAGGGGTGTAAGAAAAGGCGAGAAAAAAATTTATTACTCAATTCAAGTAATATACAAGGCTTGAGTCGCATATATCAATCCATATGAATGTCATCCTTAAAGTCCATATATCTGGTCTCGGATCTTAATATCAACTTACTGATAAATAACACTATCCTCCACCGTCAAATAAAGCTTGACCTCATCATTGTCAAAGACAATAAATTAACATATACATCAAGCAAAAACATATTGCAACACCAACTGCAAACAAGAAGCCTTGTAAATGAAAATCCTGGAAATATGCACTGCTTTATGATGTCAGACAGGATAAGAAAATACCTCCCCAAAAGGCAAAACATCATCTTCAAAGAGGTCACCGAAATCTCCAAATTCATTAATCAAAGCATGGATATCAGTGCCATCTCTGTCATCAACATCCCAATCCCAATGAGATCCAATCTGCTCATTTGCAAGTCCAGGGATTGCTGAGTTGCTAACTTCCATGGAACTAAAATCAGAGTTGTATGCATCCTGCAGAGAAGCACTTGTAGCTGTACCTACTTCAGCAAATGAATCTGCCATTCCAGCTCGCGGACGCTTAAAACCCTGTAGATAAATAATAATCATTTATCCCATAAACTCACCTCACATAAACAAGCAATAATATTAGGGAATCTGTAATAAGAACTTTGAAGCAAATACATTCTGATACAAAGTCATATTCCCATTCACTATTTATCAACATGAAGTACTACGTCTTGATACAGTCAAGTTCACATTAACTATTGATATACATTTGAGTACACATTTTTTTAAGGCTTCTTATCCAAAATGGTCTCTGAGATTGGTATAACTCCTCATTTTGGTCCCTAAGATTTAAAATCGAAAGAAGTGGTCCCTGAGATTGTCCACCTCAATCATTTTTGTCCTTCTATGAGAAATCTCCGTTAAATTGAGGGTATTTTTGTCAAATCAGCCCCTCCCCCTGAACTAGTGGTTTCTTCAATTTAACGGAGATCCTTCAAAGGAGAACCAAAATGATTGATGGTGGAAAATCTCAGGGACCACTTCTATCGATTTTAAATCTCAGGGACCAAAGTGAGAAGTTTTGACAATCTCAGGGACCATTTTGGCTAAAAATCCTTTGTTTTTTTAATTCCTAAACGAGTGTGCAAATGCCGTGATTTTTTTACATTTGATTTTTTTTTTCTTTAACAGACAATAAAAATTGCTAATAAAAAGCCTGATTAATGGATAGATGTGATACCGATTTGGAGATATCATTTCCCAACCGATCATTAAAAGATAACCCAGACTGTCTACAGGTTAAAGAATCGGCATCTGCCTCTAGTTCGCTGGCTCCTGTAGCCATCGTGTAATCACTATCGCTGGAGCTGCTGCTTATGCTACTAATGCTGCTACTATTACTGTTGCTGCTACTATTATACCAACGTTGAGTGCGAATCCCATCGGTTTCATTCCAGTCCTCCACAGGTTCTATGTTTTCAGAACTGCAGAGACCAACAGCCAGAAGTAAGAGAAAATACAATTCAGCCACCGTATTTTGACTCTATCTATAGTGATTGTCATAATGAACATCAGTAATACAGAAGTTTAGGAAAGACTTAAATTATAGGCAAAGGTAGAACATATAGTTTAGAAAATCAAACCAGATTATGTGACAAAAGAATGACAAGCAATATTCTTGATCTAACTTGTGTGTTGATGGAAATGGAAACAACCACTATAATCTCCCAAGAAAGTTGCAAATTTAGGTGTACATGTGAGTGTGTATTGTGTATTGAAGCAGTAGAGCGAACCTCAAAATAAACTAAATAAATATACTAAAAGAGTCGCAATGTGAAAATAAAATTATCTTGGCTCGAGAAACACTTAAATATAAACAATAAATCACTAACCAAAGCATAAAGAAAGATGAGCCAGCCATGGAGGGTCCAATCCAATTTTGTAGCCATAATCTACATGTTTACATCAACAGTTTTAGGTCAAGTAACATGCTAACATATAAGGAGCTAAATAAGAATGAGCAGTGCAATAATTGGACCACATATTATAGTTTTAAACAGTTTTGAACCTCGCATAATATAGTAATAAAATCATATTTCATATCGGTGCTTGCGAAGCATCCAAGTTATTCTTCTTGCATAAGTTCCTAAGCTCCTAAAATATCTTAGCACATACATATGTACACAAAACACCCCGCGGGGTTAGACAATTGCCTCCAATTTGAGCCAAGCTCTATATCATGTTAAGAAATTTAACTCATCAATTGCAGCAACACCAGGCACAGAAAAACTAAAGGTACCTCTTCAGAGATGATCTGGCCACTTGCAGGGCCGGGACAAGCACTGCCTCAGCCGGATATACAAATGTTTTTTCATAAACAGATGAATTATCCAATGCCAACTTCTGATCACCTCTTCCCAAAGCAGGAGATTCAGAAAGGTTATGCTTTCCTGTATTTCTTAAGGAGTTTGAGTTTGCTTGCAAGGACCTGTCACTTCCAGGTCTAGGACAACCAAGGGTAACTTCAACATAGCAATTTTGACCCCTTAGTTGGCAACCAGAACCTTGTGAGGCATGGTTTGCCAAACCAATAAAACCGTTTCCAGTCTTAAACTTGCTAGAACTGCTTGAACAAAACATAATCATTAATATAATAATATTTTGTTTCTTATAAAGGAAGAAAATAGTAAGAATAGTTGCGCAGGATGATAAAGGAGTAAATTCAACCTAAAATACACTTGTTTGACAAGATCACTTGGACAGCATCCAGTTAGCCTACCACACATTCCATGAGGAGAAACAATCACTGCGACCGCCGATTCAATACACAATCAATGATGATTAGATTGTCAGTTGATAACATAAAGAACAACAGCCTTTTCAGGTCAAATTTGGTATACTAATCTGATTTTGTACTCCATTTAACAAAATGCAAACTGGATTAGAAAATCTGAGTAGATCCATCTCCCTATATTCAAACTCAAATCGCAATTTAAAGGACAACATTAAAGAGTTCTAGCACACACCTCAAAGTAAATTGGGAATCAGAAGCATAGTATAGAAAGTAGACCAACCTGGAAGCCCACAACCACTATTTTTGGAAGAATGCTTTAGTCTTCTCTCTAGATCTCCATTGGAAAGTGCTCGGACATGCCTATAAACATAAAGCACAAAAGAATCTGCTTGAACAAGTATCACACAAAATTTGCGAGTATAAAGTATGGTGTAGTTTTACATACTTTGCAGATACTAAAGCATGCACAAAGATTCCCTCGTCAGTGGCAGCAAAGATAAATTCAACTGTAGGCTGCCCTTTCCTGAAAAACATAAATCAATCATTAGGCAACTCAACAAGCATCATGAAAGTACCAATTTATTTGGCAACTAATTATTGTAGAATCGCCCATACATGCATGCACAAACCAAGAATGGAATAAAAAAGATCATTTACTTGGGAAGATTGTTACTTGTGAACAAGTTGATGTTAAATATAATAAAACCTTTTAACAGTAGCACCCGCACCCCCCCAACCACCAACAAAAAGATGTAGGCAGTCAGATGATTTATCTGAAAATAACTTATATATAATTAAGTTAAGGAACCAAGGCTATGATGATTTGAGATGAAATAATAAAGCATTGAATACCAGACTAAATATTTATCATTGTCATTAAATGCTGGTTATCACTGCCATCGTTCTTATTGAAAAATACAACTTTATAAAGCCTTTCTACCACAGGAATTAAAATTGAATGCATAAATTACCTGAGAAGCTCTTCACTTTCTGATGGGTGGAACTTTGAAAATACATCTCCAAATCTCATGTAGGCAAGTCCAGATAGTGCTCTGTAAATACCAAAAAATCATTGTCAAGATACTAGTGAGAGGACTTTACTGCTTGGGTTTTCGCTGATTGATAAGCACTGACCTTTCTATACGATTCCTTAAAGCCTGAGAAAGGGCGGCTGCAACCTCTTCTGAGTCCCCAGGGGACATCCAAAGTCCAGATGCAACAACTTCTCACCAAAAATTTATAAAATTAACATATAACTTAGCAGATACAATTTTATACCATAATAAATCTACTATTTGGCTATTGTACAAAACCTTGATAACAAAAACCAAACACATAGTACCTCTTAATTTAGAGACTGCAGCTTGAGCAGAGTCAGCAACAGTTGAATGCCGCCCAGGAAGAAAAAGCCAGAGTTTAATTTTCTCATCTGTGCATGTTGTATAAAGCAGCAGTTAAGTAACCAAATTTTTGTCACCCATAGCACACGGAATTTATGGCATCTTTCTCCCTATTCTGTTAAACAAGTATCAAATGAGCATCCACCCCAAGTCCCAACAACTAAGCCATTAGGTATACAAGACCATTTCATATTTGTACTTATATTATATTATATCTACAACCAGTATGGGATTTATTTCTTCAACATTGCCAACCAAAAAGTTATGTGTACTAAGGAACTAAAGGATCCATTTCTCACCTGGATTGTGCACACCTTGAGATGGATCCCAAGGCCCAACAAAGGAATTGGTCCATGTGCTGAGAAATCCATCCTTCTGCAACTGTACATGTGATGAAAGTACCAGCCGTGTGGCAGCATCTTTCGCACTGCTCAACAGTGCGAATGAGAGTTAGCTTTGATAATGTTTAGAGAGCATGACAAGGAGAGTAAGCTTTGCTAATGCTTAGAGATCATGACAGAGAGCCTTTTGCCTAACTATTAGGAAACTAGGAAGAAAGATACGGGGTGGATTTTTACCTTTTATCTGGTAGTGGGATCAACTCAGACTCATGGGGAAGAAACTGAAACCATGATACTTGATGAAAACCACCCTGTTGAAGCAATCAATACTGGTTAAAAATTCTATTAACTAGCATAGCCATCATGCAAATATTTTTGGAGGATTATATTCTTTTCAAATAAGAACTAAAGAAATATAGCTCTCTCTCTCTCTCTCTCTCTCTCTCTCTCTCTCTCTCTCTCTCTCTCTCTCTGACACCCACTGAAAAAGGAAATCTCCTTCAAACCCGACTGTCTACTCTCTCTCCCTGTACAAAGATAAACGGCTTTCTTGACGATGACACATTATTTTCTTCAGCGGTAAAAACAGGGTAAATTTAATGGGGATTTATTTTGTATGTTAATATCACAATCATACATATTCTGCATGTATATGTTTTACTTCCTCACACAGATTTTTTATTAAGATCCATTTTGAATTATAATGTAAGAAAGCAATGAATCAAACAAAAGAAGTATTCATACCTATCATCATGATTGAATTTACCATATGACAACAACAATATAATAAAGAAGGATTTGCAACAAAACAGCCAAATGCTTGTCTTTTGTAGCCTCAGATATCACAATAAATGTAACCTTTTCTCTAGGGGTGTCCAAGTACAAAATTAATCAACAAGAATTAATAATAGATTGACAAAATACATGGTTGCAAATGATCAATCATGGTTCCATTTATCATCAAAGTGGGTTTTGTTGTACCTTTATGCACAAGCGGAAACAGTTCTAACAAATTACGGCGTAAGTGAAGAAACAAACAATATCAAAATAAGAACTCAAGAGATTAACGTGGTTCGGCGTAAAAGCCTACGTACGTCCACGGGTAAAGTACGACGAGGAATTTCACTAAACAAACGGAGATTGCAAAAGAGTGTTTTACTCTCACAACCCAAATCCCACACATTACAAACCCTAAACCAAACAAGTAGAGAATCCAAACAAACGGAAGAGATTCTCCCAAATTGTTCTCGAACTCTCAAACTCACAAATTGACTCTCACCAAATTGCCACGCAAATAAGCCACACTCTCATAACTCCAAACGGTGACCTCCACCCAAAACACAATTACAGAAAACTCCCTAGAACAATGGTGCCAACACACAAAATAAAACTACCCCCAAGGTCCTATTTATAGTGCATAGGACTTAGGTTTCAATAAGAATCCTAATCCTAATTGGAAGTAAATCCAAATCCTAATCAAATAGTTAATCAACAAAATCTCTCCACCAAGCAAGGAAATCCAACCAAGAAGTCAAAATAAAAAACAGATAGGACACCAAAACGAAATAGGTAACACAAACCTAATTTATGCATCATCCTAATTTTGAGCCGTAAATCACAACAGGGTTACCTCCCTAACTCCCAATATAATGGTGTCAGGTTATTATTAGCTTTCCTTATCCAGCAGGTTAGATTGATGAACAGAGGGAAGCGATTGAACTTGATTGGTTAAGGTGAGAAAATGCACAGCGTCCATTTTTCCTCTCTCCATGATCATTTAAAAAGGTAATTGGTTCCTCTCATAGTCTCGAAAAATTATTACAACCCTAGGATCTAATAACGATATCGATTAAAAGAGGAAATAAAAAAAGTTAGTAAGGAAGCTACAACTAACATAGAGAGTAATTAAAGACATACAGTGTATGTTATGCAATATAAAGCAATTGTTTCTCTAGTTATGTCAGATGCATTTCAGCCGTTAGATGGTAAAACAATTTAAGGATTACACATCTGTGTTCAATTATGTGGTTGTACTTGTATTTGTGGCTCCTGAACAGAATCCATATGCTAACAGTAATAAAGGGTTTTTCTCTCTTTTATTTAGTTAGCATTTAGGATTATATTAGGCGATATTTTCTTTGTATTAATCGTTTCTTTTTCTCTTGAAAAGTTATAAAATGTAACTGCATTCAAGCCATGATGCAATGCAAGTATGCCATATTAAGAATGAACTCAATAAACGAAACTTTAAGAATTCAAAGCTAACAAAACGAATGAAGAGAAGAGAACGGGGGTAAATGAACATACGATTTTGAAAACATTCGTCCACATTCCTTGTGAATATGATGGTAAAGCTGCAAAGCTCCTTGCCCCTCAGCTATTCACTACTCAGGACCCTTCTTTTATGATACTAAACTCATATCAAATCCAATCCCCAAGCATCTCTCACCTCTGCAAATAATACCACAATTAAAATTCATACACGTTTCCAACGCAGAGAGAAATATAGCAAATTCAGAAAATTGTTTCCATAATGAAACTTCATACACGTTTCTAAACCCTATCTCTGTGTAAAGAGCTACAAACCCTAACAACCCGTTTGGTGGCAACAAATGGAGAGGGAAAACAAATTGAAAATTTGAAATTTCAGATACAAGCTGCTCGATTTCGTATGCATCTCTTTCCCAATTCCGAAGATTTTCTTGGCAACGGAAAGACGGAGAGAAAAAGGAAGAAAATTTGCAATAGAACATAAGCGTACCTTGTGTGCTGTTTGGTTACCGGGAAAATTCAATCGGGGATTTTCTAACAGAGGGGTTTTCTTCTTCACTCAAGTCTCAACAGTCCAAGTGGAATGAATTTTGGATCGAATCAAGTAAGAAGTGTAGAGCGTCGGATCTCGTCCGGATCCTATTACACACTCATTCGGATCCTTTATGTCACTCTTATCTTACGGGAGCTGCGGTAGAAATAAAATATGAATGTTTGTTGTTATTTGTCCGCGACCCGATGGGTTGACGTTGCGGATCCTGGTTCGTTCCTTACCCTTTGTCCAATTACAAGATCCAATTAAGGCTCTTCCATACCATTAAAACTGCACAAGGCCCAAATGAAACTTCAAATTTCTTTGGACCACACAGACACTTTTGCCCCATACAATAACCACAAGCTCGAGAGTTACCACAAATGGCATTGGGAAAAGGATGGATGAAATTTTAGGTTTTTTAAACTACGAGATGATGATTCAAACTTCGGTTCAGGATCCTTTTCCCGCATCAACTTATTAAGTTCAAGTTAATTATGTAAAATCCAACAAGTCAATTACAAACCAGATGTTACGTTGTAGTTATCTCAAGTCAATTTTGTTTTCATATGTTTTCTTCAACTATTATGTATCATTTCTTCAAAAAATACTATTATGTATCAGAGCTGCTTTGATTAAAAGTGTTTGATAAAGTTAAAATACCGTCCTCGTGACATCTTGTTACACCAAACTTCTCCATATCTACCATCATTAGGGCTGATGATATGCAGTATCAAATTTATTACAAACCCTTTCTTGCACATCACAAAGTTACTTCAAATACAAATTTTTGCGTAGCCTCCAAGTAATTTAAGCACATATCAATAACCCTTCACTTTAAGCGCGGCTCTTATGCTGTGAACCATAATCTCTCACTCTCTCAAAGTCTCAAATTTCTCCAGCACGGTAGCAAAAAATCAAAAAACCATGCAAGCAGTGGCAAAACTGAGCAAGAATCTCCCCCGCCCTCTCTTCCTCCTCCTCGCTCCCAGAACCTTAACCACCCTCACTTCTTCTTCTTCTTTATCACACTCGCTATCCTCACCGGGCTGTGACTCCGCCATCATGCAGACCACAAACACGTGTCTCACCGGAAGAACTCTGCTTCGTTTTCCCTGGTCCGCCATTCAACACCGTGGAGCCGTTGTCCAGGGCGCTGATGTAAGTTCCTGAATCCGTTTTGGTTTTTCATACTATGTATACGAATTTTTTGAGTTGTAACTGTTGTTTGTAAGTTCCTGATTCTGCAGGTAAAACCTGGAAATATCATTGAAAGGAATGGTGGGTTTGGAATTTCTTTGCGTTCAGTTTGATTTTTCGTTCAAAGTTTAAATTTTTACTAACCAAGTTTGTGAATATTGAAAAATATTGCTGTCGCGGTCGGGGTTATGGTTTGCAATACCTTGTTCAGATCGTATTTATCAGGTGAGTTTGCTTATTATCTCTTTTAATGGTGATTGGTGTTGTTAATTAATATAATGGGGTTTATTGTTGCATAATTTGTTGTTATTTAGGTGTTAAAGGCGGAGCATTCACATGAAGGAAGGGGAAAAGCGGTTGTTAAGGTGTGTTTCTGACCTTATCGTTATTAGAATATTGCTCACAAGCTGTGATTGTAATTTACCAAGCTGATATCTTAAGCTGTGTTTTCGTTGCAGGTGGAGGTTCGTGATCTTGACTCGGGGAACAAGACATCCCTACGATTGTCGACGGATGAGCAACTCGATAGTACGAAACTTTAACTTTGTAAATTCCTATTACTAGTTGCTTAATTGTCTACAATGTTCATAAATGGACGGTCAATTTTACCATTATTTGGTTGTCGTATCATCTTAGTTTCTTGGATATGTATTTATGCATTGCCCGTCAATATTCTTTTTTTGTTTCACGCCGTTTTTAATGTCCGTTTTGATAATACTGACGAACTCCAGTTGGCCGAGTTCCTTTAATCCTAGTCATGTGCCATTGTTTGAGCTATTAAGCATGTGGTGCGTAAGATGATAAATCTCACATAAATTTGCTGCAGAGGTGTTTGTTGAATCAAAAACTTACGTTTACATGTGCACAGATCGTGATGGCATAGTATGTTTGATAGAGTGAGTATTATATGTTATCAAAACTTCCTTCTAGCATCACCTTCCTTTTCACTTTCTGCTGCTAATTTCCCTTCAATAATGTGTTCTATTTGTAATTCTTATGAGCCCTGATACACTTGATCAACTCGATGTGCCGGAGGACTTGTTTGCAAAGAAGGCTAAATACCTACAAGGTCGACACTTATTATAGTACATGTTCCTTTTTGTTCAGCTATTTTCCATGATATTACTTTGAATAGAGGAAATGAAAGTGACTAAAATATGTTATTCACTGTGAATAGAGGAAATGAAAGTGACAGTGGAGCTGTACAACGATAAACCTTTATCTGTTAAAGTTCCAAAACACGTTACGTGCGTTGTCAAGGAAGCACAAACTCCTGTGAGGGGGACTGCACAAGCACCTAAGTATGTTTTCATTATGAAATATTATTGCTTGTTCAGACTTCATATCACTACTTCTTGTTTTCTCTTCCAGTATCTGTATTTATGGAAGTTGGTACATTGTGAGTATGCGATTGAACAAAAAAACCCTGCAATTCCTAAACCATTGATTTCTCAATTAACCTGTGAAACTAAAGCTTGCTAACATAAGACCTTTTAATCATCATGGACTTGCCTCCATCAAGGCATCAAGTGATACCTTTATGTGTGCTGGTTTGAGGACTTTGCTACAGTTGATCACAGTCGGGTTGTTGATTATCTGGTGTACTTTGCATTCCTTTTTTCTCCTACGAATCTTGTAGCTAAATTCTGAAGCAGTTTTCGGTTCCCATGTTGACACTAGTGTACACTGTAATATTATTATATCATTTGTGCGCTTGTGCTATCCCTTGATAACTCTCTCAAATGCAGGGAAATATTAGCCGTGATGGAACAGGGCTTCACTGTCAAAGTAAGATTAATTTTTCTGAATACATTTGATATTTAAATTTACTCAGCTTCGTAGCTAATGCTTATGTTTAATGTTTTTTGTAAATTTTATTTTCGAACTTTTCCTAGGTACCACCTCACATCGTAGAAGGTGAAGCTGTGGTGGTTGACACCGGTGACGACTCTTATGTTAAAAGGTAATTTTATAATTATCTCTGCGGGCTTGTTTCACATCCTTGTAAGTTTCTATTTACTTGCACAGTTAAATATAAGATCGGCATTTCATTTCACATCTTCTTGAAGTGAGAGCAGGATTTCTCGTCTTCATACTCAACCGCCAGCGGCTAGCTTTGACGGGCTCCCAGTTTCCTGGGCTCTGCTCGCTCGGAAATGTGGTGGTTGGGCAACAATATCATCCAAGATAGTTAGTTTTGCTTTGTAACTAGAATGATGCTGATGATTGATATGTTGAAGTTAATGCCTGTATAATTGTAACTCTCCTCGCGCACTGTGAAGCGTTTCTGGATTTTAAAGCAAGTCCGTTCCCTTATTTCGTTTCTTTTTTCGTTTTGGTATCAGGGCCAAGCCATAATGCTTAATATCATTGCTTCAATTGGATGGAGAGGTGGAGATTCAATTGCTCAACTCCACGATGACTGATTTCTTACCATCTTGACGTAGCTGATTCAAAGTGATGTACATTTACTCGTACAACATAGTTTGGCAGCGGAAATGATTCCGCTCTTTAGGCAGGATGATAGTTTTGCTATTTGACTTGCTGAACAATTGTTTTCTTGGTGCAGTTTAGTTTATCAGTAAGAAAAAAGTTTCACATTTTTATTAAACTACTGTTTTAGCTTAATCTTTGGCGGAAAGTGTTGAAATCTAAGGGTCTTCGCCTAAGTAGGTTAAAGACTGAGTATGTCGAGCGCAAGTTCAGTGGAATAGGTGTCCGACCCCAAATGGGATTGGGGTTAGGAATGGAAATCATAAAGTAACGAGTGAAATTGGTAAGACTAAACCAGAAAACTCCATAAGGAGCTTCATAAGACAGTAATTTTATGACTAATGAATGCATAGCTCTCTCCTCATTTGATGTGCAACGTGAGAAGAGGGATGAGCTCAGATTGGGTATACACCACGTTGCACCAAAGTTCTCTCCAACACAAGGGATCGAAGATGTCGATATAATTTTGGTTACCCAAGTGGTTTAAGCTTTAGAATTCATTCCAACAAACAAATTCACTGGGGATTTACGCCCTCAATCAAAAACATAATTATTTAACATGATCATGCACTACAAGGAACACAAACTATAAACTTGCAGAGTATGCTTCAAAATGCCAAACCCCGCTTTCTAATGTGGTGTACAAAACTCATTATTTCGCTTCGACATTCATTTCTTGTCCAATTGTTCCTAACGAGAGGATCCCTCTCAAGTACTCAACTTCAGAATCAATAAGACGGGGTGTAATCCTCCTACAATTCCAGTCACACCCGAAAAATTACTAGTACAAATATCATAAATTCCAGTAAATCCTACTCCCAACTCCGATATTAGAATTCCCAATAATTAGTTCGACTTTGTAGGCGTGTTTTCGCAGAACAAGACTACAACACAACTAGAAAAATTATTGTTTGAAGTTTGAACTGAACTCCAGCAGAAATATCCGTCCACGAAGAAAACTACAACCCAAAGTTCTTTTCCAACTTCTGGATCTGGTTGAGGAAAATCCATGTCATCTGCACAATCAAAAACCAAACAATTAGAATATCATCGAGAAAAATGTCTGATGCATTCAAAAGTAAATGAAAGGCCACTTGCAATGTGAGAAAGAGAGAGTACCATGACATGGGGGGCAATTCTAACACAATACAGGAAACCCAGTGTAAAATTTCAATGGTCCTCCTGCTTTCAAGGTTTTCATGGCACAATCAAAAGAGCCAGTGTATGGATACTTTCCCTCAGCATCAGGCTGCATTTTCTGAATTTGGGTTTTCACATAGTCAAAGGGCAAACTGCAAGCGGCAGCGAAAAACCCTGAAACGGTACTGGCACCTACAAGATAAAGGAAGCACATGTCAATTCAACGATAATCATACGACTAATATTAACCACGGAATAGAGAGAATAAGAGTTAACATTCCATTACTATGTTGATGGCCAAAACTAGAGTTTATTTACTGCTGTTTGCAGGACAGGGTTGGATGAAATACCATGTAAATTATTTAATGGCATGCCACCAACTCATTAAAAGGAAACAACAATATAGTTTCACTTTTTGGTCATAAAATATAATTTCAATTTGATAATGTAGATACAAATGAAAGAGAGAGAGAGAGAGAGAGAGAGAGAGAGAGTGAGAGAGAGAGAGAGATCAACATTCAAATAGAATAACTGGAAAAGAAAATATCATCGATATCCCTCAACTATCAAAATTCACAATCTTAAACAAGATGAACTCAAAATCTGACGTGGACCGGCCTAGGGTCATAATAAGACTCAGGAAAATCTGTCCAACTTCTCTACAGATCAACCATCACCATTCATAGTTGCCGATGACAATGTTGTTCAATAATAAATTCTGGACTAAAAAGAGAGATGTTTTGGCTATATAGGTTTAACTCTACAATGTTCATTGTTCATTCCAAATCTTTCCTCACATAAAGCAAAACCTGCCTTAATATATGAAGTCCATTACTCTTCATTCCATGTTAACAATACTGGATATTTTCATTACTCACAAAAAGGATCGGTCGTATAAAGAGTAGATTGAACAAAGTCAAGCCTAATTTTAATCACATCCAAAATAATTTAAAACAGAAGAGAATCACATTTTTATACTACTTGCAAAGAACCTTACCCAAGACAGTAGCACCTTCACCAAATCCAAGGGAATCCTTGAAAAATTCAACACTTTGATCATAAGAGGCAAGCATTCCCATGTTCAACGCCATTGCTCTAACTACAGTAGGGCCTGCACCTTTCCAAAGTGCCAAAACCCCTTCATCTGCAGTAATACGATATAGAGCATGGAAAGCATTTGTGTAGTTACGGCGCTGAGCAGCAGGCAAAGTAGCATCAGCTTGCATACGAATGAGTGCTAAATCTGCTGGACTTCCAACAGATGCTCCAATGGCACCAGCAGTTAGCCCACACAAGGCTTTCTGGTATAGAGGTAGAGGCTTCCCATCATTGGCCTCAATTGCTTTGTTTGTCAGAATCCTGAACAAGTTTATCAGATTCAGATTAACAAGATGATCTAAAAAACAATGTACATATAAAATCACAATATCACATGACAAAAGTACTTAAAAAGATCTAGAAAATAAAACTAAACAAAGGCAAATCTTTCACTAAAAAATTTAAAAGCTTTCAAAAGCTGACTTAAGTCTGGATTTTGCAAAAGACTCACCTAAATGATCCAAGACGAGCTGTGGTATATGTAGCTTGTCTTAGTAGCCCAGCAGAGAGTCCCTGCTCATAGAATTTAAGTTTAGATAAACTATCATTGTAACACATTAACTTAAGTCAATCAATCAGCACACGTAACATCAAGAACTTTAAATCAATAAAAAAACGTTCTTCCACATTTCGAACCTCAAATCTGACAATAAAATGACCTTAGATTGCACTAGGATCCAGGAATCAGAGAGACAGGATTTGGAATACAATTTTAAGTTTAAATTGGTTGGATGTAGTATGAAAGACAACACTTTTTAGTCAAAAATACATGGATGAACTAAAACTTAAGTGATGATGAATTTGATAACGGCTTGGTAAAATGTGTTATTCGAAAGCCTATATCAAGTGATACTTCTGAAAGAACTTACATTTTTTGGTCGAAACTGAAAGAACTTATCTTAGAAACATCTTTACCAATACAAATTCAAATCTAAACACCCTACAAGCATCACTTAATTTGAAATGTCATTCAACACTGGATCAATACCTTATACAAAGCACCAAAGCCTTCCTCTTTAATCATGGTCCTGGTGACCTGGGCAGCTGATCCCTGACCCAATTGAATTCTCACCTGTTCCAGCCAAGTTAACAAGAACCCAGAAAGTGTGAGTCCCAATGAACCAGAAAGTGTGAGTCCCAATGAACCACATTACAGCACAAATCAAAACAAAAACTTTCAGGAAAAAAAAAATCCCAGATCTATAAATCATCAAGGAAACGCGATTTCAGCTCAAAAATGGAAGTGAGAATCAATAAAAAACGAAAAACAAACATGGGTTCAATCCAAATCTCAAAATTGTAAAGAAAGATTCAAACTTTATAGTCTAAAAACTCACCTTGATCATATCAATCGGTTGGATGACACAGGTAGCAAGCATACCAGAGGCTCCGCCATTGACGAAGGGCTTAACGGTGGGCCAAACACCAGATTTGGGCGTACCTTTGTCTCCCATTATTTGGATTGGAAATGAACAAATGAGGTGCTCGAAGAAGGGAGAGAAAGTGCGGGGGCTGGTTCTGCTTTGAAGTTGCAGAAGAGGAGAAAACAAAGAGGCAACTTAACAGGCTAGACTGATTGTCTTGCACTCCCAACAAACCCTCCTCTGCCTCCTTGCTTTCCTCACGACCTGAAAAATTTTCCTTTAATAAAAAGAGGAAAATGAAAATGGAGTTTGTTCTATGACCTCAGATGTCTACCAAATTACAATGGTAGGACTACTTCAGGCCTACTGTGATTTAAGCCCACTCTATTCTTTATTTTTAAATTTAAATAAAAATTAATTTTCCATTTGTACAAAATAACTAAAAGAAATGGTATTTGTCTTTTGAGATGATCAATATTTAAAAAGATAGAGAAAACAGAAAAGTGCGTCTCTTAGTGTAAGATTGAACACTCTTAGAGCAAGTCCACCGTTGGTGGTTGCTCGAGGGACAGGCTTCAGGAAAGGGCCCGAGGGCTGGTGGGAGAAAGTCCAGCGTTGGTTGGCGAGGGAGCCCGAGCATGCCGGTGGATTCGTGCCAGCCCGAGCGCCTGAGGTGGATCTGACGTCAGCTGACGTCAGACGCCTTTTTTAATATTTTTTTCTGTCAGGTTCTGCAGGTGCGTCCAGGACGGCGGTGAGGCGAGTGAGGGCGGTGAGGCGGGTGAAGGCGTGAGGTGGGTGGGATGGGGAGTACGGAGGTGTGTCCAGGACAGCGGGCGGGATGGGGAGTACGGAGGTGGGGGTGAGGGAGGAGGCGGGGAGGGTTTGGGGGATGGTGATGCTGATGAGGTGAGGGTGAATGCGAGGGTGAAGAAGGTGAAGAAGAAGAGGAGCCACGGCGAAGAGAAGAGAGAGAGAGAGAGAGAGAGAGAGAGAGAAATCAATAAAATAAGAGAAATAAATAAAATAATAATATTTTATGGATTGGGTGAGAAAAAAAAATATTAATATTTTATTACTAATTGCCAGGGGAGAGAGTTCCAATGGTGGAGATGCAAATGACAATTACTGTTTATTAAGGGCAATTACTGTTTACTAGGTGGATTGAATAGTGGATTGCCAGGGGGAGGGCTCCAAGGGTGGAGTTGCTCTTATGCAAAATGTTAATATCTAACTCGCGATTTATGGATATCGAACTTAAAATCTTCTATTAGGGGTATATTCAACTAAACTTTTATTACTTTTTGAATTCAAAATAAAACCATATCAGTGTGGTTTTTTGTTTTGTTAACTAAAAGAAAACGTGCTTGTAATAAAATAATTAGTGCTAATGTGTTGGCCAAAGAGAGTAGCTAGGGAGTCAAATTTGACTGGCCAAACCGAGGAGAATTGGGATCATGATCAACTCGCTTTTTCTCCCTTCCCACATTTTAATAAATGTTCTCCCTAAACCTTTGGAGATGTTATGAGATGATAGAAGAAAATTGATCAAGTCAAAATAGTTGCAAGGATCTATTTGGACATAAAGATATGTGCAAAATAATTGATTTAGGTTATGAAACTCTTATATTGATTCCAGAGGCGAAGATAAAGATTTGTATGAATGAGGGCATTCTCAAACAATAAAGTCAAAAACTAAAAAGCTTAAGAATCTAATAAACAAAACACGTACATATATTAATCCATAAAGTTTTTCATACTAACATACAGTATCCCTCAACGAATTTTCATGTTTTGAAAGCGTTATATAACAACTTCATTACCAATCCCATCAAATATATCTCTATAAAAATTACATGTTATCATTCATCCATTGATCTCCCATCGGAATTCTTAATCCATTCCTCATAAATTTTATGGCTGAAAATATTTGTTCAACAATGATAGCAACTGAAAAAGTACATTTGTTTCCAACAAAAAAAAAAACTAAGTGGGGGCATCCGCTCAGCATGTGCCTAAAGCGATTCCGTCCTTGACTGATTTACTCGTGAGCTTTAAGTGACGTAAGTGCATGTTTGACAATGAGATCATACATTGGCAAATGTCAAACTATAATATGACCTTGAGATCTAGGTCTAGCTCACATGTTAAGCATGGATAGAGCAGTCAGTTCCCTAGTTGTGGTTGTTTGCTGTTGTTGCTGCCTTTCTTTGTCTTCAAAGAAACCTCAGTGAGTCGTGAGTTTGAGTTGAGTGTGGCAACATTGACTTTCTGGCAAGAGTTTGATGAGGAGGGAAACTCGATGCATATTTGCTTGTCTTAGACTGCATGCACTCCCACTTTAATATAGATATAAATACAAGCAATTCCAAGGGCAAATAAGTAATTAACTTAAGCATGTCTATTGGCATGGACGTTAAGAATATTTTTTTCATGCACAGATGCACTCGTATTACTAAAGGATCGATATTTTCAGGGGAATTCGATGTCTCCAAACGACGTAGTGTTGGTAGGCTATTTCGGTAAATTCAAAATCAAGATTGGTGTTGCCCATTATCCGCCTCACGAGGACCTCAGCTTATCCAACCAGCCAAAGGATTATTCACAAACATAAAATTACAAAACTGTCCAGGTCAGGATCTTGGAGCTGTTTCTCTCATTTTATGGGTGAAATATTAGAGGATTTAGTAACCAGTCATCGCCAACGTGAGGAGTTTGATTTTTGTGGGAATAACATTTGATACCAACCTTGTGAAAATCGTTCATGTCACTTTCAGTTATATCCTCATAAACTTTCGTCCTTGTTCTTCTTTTTATTTTTTTTATTTTTTTTTATTTTATAATAAACGTTAGGATCTAATATCAATGTTTTTATAAATGTAAATTAAGTCGGTTAGTCTATAACGGTACCTTCTCTTTTTTATATAAAAATGTTTTAAGTTCGAATCTTTTATTGTTGACTGATTAAGAATTAAAAATCTACACATTGTTTAGAACATCAATCACATATTTATTATATAAAACAGATTTAGATGGTATTGGTGTTGTTGATAGTGTGAGGATGTAAAAAGTTAATAACACTATATGTGCTTATAACAAGTGGGAACACTTCGTAGTTGGTTTTATAATGAAGACTCAACTTTTTCGTGATATCAGAATAATTTAGTTAAATCACGTATTGAGTTCAAAGCAATCCACATGTTCAAATGTCATATAATATACATGTTGTGCACATATTATACGTAAAGAGCGTGTTGGAAATGTAAATCCAACCTCAAAAAATTAAGAAATCTTATAAAGTTTGACGACTTTTTATATTACTATTTAGTTAGTGAAACCTCAACGTACTAAGAAGCAAATACGAATTTACTAGAATAAAATAATTAGAATCGAAGTTTTCAGTCTATGCTAATCACAAGTGACCATCAACCACTTGGATCTGTAGTGATGCGTGATATCGCGATGGAGATTAATTATATGTTTATACAGGCCCCTTATGTAAAGGGGTCTTCATTTAAGAAAAAAAAAAAGATTAGGTGTGAGGCTCACTCTACATCTAATTTCAACGATCTGAACTGTCTATTTTGTAAGTCTTCATTTATAAATCATCCTTGCAAAAATTCAATTCAATCCGAAACCATTTGCTTATTTAATTATCAAAATAAAATTTATTGTTTATTATATAACAAAATATTCGTTAATTTCTTTAAACTCAATTAGATGTTTTAAACATTTCCGATTTGGCTAATAATTTGCAATAATTATCTATGAGGTGCAACTTGAAAAATAGAAGGTTCGGATCATTAAAGTTCTATATAATATAGACTGCACAACTAATCCTTATTTTTATAAAAAATGAAGATCATTTCCTTTAAAGATATCCTAAGTACGTTTCATTTACGTGTTCGTTATCATATGGCCTGCAGCAAGGCATCTCATCATATATAGTCAGAGTTTATATATTAAAATTAATTAAAAAAAGTTATTAATATCTCCCTTTTAAAATATTGCAAATTCGCATCAACCTACCCCGCAGCACACCCCATATCCACCCACCCACCCCGATCGGTAAATTTTTAGTTGTGATGGGAACACAAGTGATACACCACATGTTTTAGTAGGAGTTGTGGAAAATTTTATCTTTTACACATATCCCACCATTTTTATAGTAACACATGGTGTACCACCCCGTGTACCGGTTACACTGAAAAATCTCTCCCCCAACCCAACTACACCCACCCCGTGGCCCACTTTGGTGTTTTATCTCACTTGTGGAAATCAGTCATGCATATGCACTCTGGTGTATATTTGATCTCCATTGATCTCTTCCCTAACAAAAAAGTTTAATGAAAACATGCTTACTAACTTAAACAAATTTGAATGCAAATGAAACTCTTAAGTAGAAAATAGTTGAAAATGACTTGAATACATGAAGGAAAATGCATTAAACTACATATCTACTACATATAAGTATAAACAAAAGAGACTCGGGCAATATTTTAACCTTGTCAGGCAAGGTTGAACTTCTTACAACCACTTCTCTTTCAAGTTTACAAGGTTTTGTATGCAGTGAAGGATGAAAAGTAAATAGTTTTTACTAGAGGGAATTGATACTACAACACTAAGAAAAAGTAGTAGAGCTTCTAAATTTGACAAAATATAGCTTTCTATGGAGATTCTAGGACTGAAAAGGGGAAGTTTGGACAAACTAAGGCTTTCTAGTTTATAGCTTTGTCTGATAGCAAAGTGAGATGTCTTTTGATTGATTGGTTGAGTGTCCTTGTCTTTGGTGTCCAATTTGGCCCGACTGTCCCAGCTTTACCTTTAGTTGATAGCTTTCGGAGGGCAGTGAGTCATCATCTATTTACTCATTCATGCCATTGAAAAGTGATTTTTGGCTGGTGGTGAGTTGTTATATGTTGCCCATCACTTTAAACATAGGCATGTGGCCTATGCATTTGCTGAAATAACTTCCAATTTATCTTGGGCCTATCGACTGGGCTCGGGCAAGTCTTCATTGGCTTTTGCATCTCTTAACCTTTATTATCACAAATACCAATATTAAATATAAACCCAAACAAGAATAATGCATGGAACCCTGGCTATACTATACAATTAATATATAAAAGAAAAATCTCTCTCAAAACTCCTCCAACTTGAATTATATATCCATTTCGCATACTTAAGCAGAATAGACAGCCTCTAGCATTCAACCTTCATAATATTATGTCATGCAATAA